GAAATCAACTAGTATGGGAAATCTTTCTAAAAGACATACCCAGCCAGGATGGCTGAGATCTAATCAAAGACAGTAAAAGAAATTCTAAGTTTGGGCTAATAGGAGCATTCCTGGTCATTGTGTTTGTTCCGATAGGTCTGGGAAAAGGTGGATCCTCCCTTTGAAAGACTGGTGATATGAAATTGATAAGTCTCTTTTACCAAGATTTGGGTGATCTAAGTCACATACCCCACGATCTTCATTGTAACATAATCCACCCCCTCATTGTAATATTCATTTTGTTATTACGTGTTAACCAATTAGAGTTGATTGTCACCCTCAGGAACACCTACTTTTCAAAGGGCATGTTAACTGGGAGCCCAACCACTGTAAGGTATCTTTGGTCTAAAAGAGATGGCCAAGTGACCATCCTTTCATTAATAAACATTCTGGCCTAACTAATAAAAGATTAAATTACCCAGAAACTATGTCTCTAGAACCTTTCTAAACATCACAGCACAGTGCCTGGCACATGGTAAGCATTATAAAAATGTTTAATTCCCCCTTCCCTTCTCAGATGAATAAAGATCACCCATAAGTAGAGGTTTTTCCCCACTTCTACAGCTATCATTATCATTCAATACAGAGCTGAGAGCAAGGCTTCATCCAGGGCTTTGGCATAGTTTCCTTTCCAAAAAAATCTCAAGCATCTTTTATTTTCAGCAGTCATTCTATTCAATTTGCAGTGAGTGACAGCCAAGATTTTTTTTCCATGTTTATCGACATAACCATTGGTTAAGAGACACAATCAAAAAACAAAATGATTTATTTTGTTTTGAGGCTTTTTCTAAAAAAAAAAAAAAAGGTAAAAATCTTTCCTCTCTTTTAAGTTAAATACAAAAATGAAGAACCAATAATGTTGGTTTTTAGATTTAATGTGATACTTGTTTTGTGTTTTCTTTTTTAATATAAATATAAAATTAATGAGCTAGAGTTCCAAAAGGGAGGAGCTAAATATTTAATATTAAAGAAGGTCTACAGCAGTTAATAAATCAACACTTTTTATTAAGTGTCTACTATGTACAGGCACTGTGTTAAGCACTGAAGATACAAAGAAAGGCAAAAGACAGTCCCTGACTTCAAGGTGCTCACAGTCTAATGGGGGAGACAAGAAGCAAACAACTCTAAAAACAAGTCAAATACAAGATAAATTGGAGATAATCAACAGAGGAAAGAAACTAGCAATAAGGGGGATCAGGAAAGGCTTTACCACAGAAGATGGGATTGTAGCTGAACTTAAATGAAGCTGGGAGACAGAGATGAAAAGAGAGTATTTCAGCCCATGAAAATGCTAGACTGGAGGAACAGTCAGGAAATCAGTGTCAATAGATTACAGATTATTTGGTGGAGACTAAAATACAAAGAACACTGGAAAGGTCGGAAGGGGTCAGGTTATGAAGGGCTTTAAAAGCCAAAGAAAGGATTTTATATTCAATACTAGAGGTAATAAGAAGGCACTTGAGTCTACCGACATGGTCAGACCTTCACTTTAGGAAGTTCATTTTGACAGCTCAGTGAACCCTGACCTGGAGTGGTGAGAGACCTGAGGCAGGGAGAAAAACCTGCTAAGTATTGCAATCGTCCAGGTATGAAGTGATGAAGGCCTGCACCAGGGTGGTTACAGTAGCAGAGGAAAGAAGTTGAGTATATACAAGAAATGTTGCAAAGGTGAAAACAATAGGAACTGACAACTGATTGGATATGAGAGGATATGATTGGATATGAAAGTGAAGATTCAGGGCTGACACACAGGTTGTGAGCCTGGTGACTAGTGGCACTGGGATGCCTCAATAGTAAAAGGGAAGTAAAGAAGAGGGGAAGGATTTGGGGAGAAAGATAATCAGTTTAGTTTTAGACATGTTGAATTTAAGATGTCTATAAGATATTTGGGTTGAGATATCATTTCCTGCTATAATTCTACAATCATATCACATGAAAATCATGATTGTAGAACTGTAAAAAGAATTGTTTTACCTACAAGCTGGGTAAAAATGTCTTTATTAAATTGATAAGACTTTGTATTATATTCATAATGTTCTGCTATATATAACATTAAAATATTTGTTAAAATTTTAAAAATCACTAAGCTTACTGTTTTACAATAGTGCTGATAAAATTTATATATCTTTTTCTAGATGGCCAAGAAATGTTTCACATGTAAATACTATGAAAAAATACTTATGAAAAAAGGTAAAAATCTTTCCTCTCTTTTAGATTAAATATAAATGTGCAGACCATTTTTGTAGATCTTTGTAAGATCAAATTAACCATGACCTAACAAAGCTATGACCTACAAAGTAGCAGAGTAGGTACCAACTTAAATTGGCACAGAGAATTTCCTCACCTGTAAATTCCCTACATCATTGCAATGATAGGGTTAGTCCCTATTCCCTTCCCTTTTATACAATAAAAGAGGGAAAGTATGTAATAACTTTGTTAGGGTGATAAACAAATTAATGTCTTTTATTTTTCTTTTTAAAAAGCTAGAAAGCTGAGAAATAATTTTTACACTAAGTATTTATGATAAAGGCCTCATTTCTCAAATATATAGAGAACTGAATCAAATTTATAGGAATACAAATCATTCCTTACTTGATAAATGATCAAAGGATATGAACAGGCAATTTTCAGATGAAGAAATTAAAGCTATCTATAATCATATGAAAAATGCTCTAAAACACTATTGATGCAAATTAAAAGAACTCTGAGTACCACCCTCACACCTATCAGATTGGCTAACATGACAAAAAAGGAAAATTATAAATGCTGGAGAAGATGTGGGAAAATTAGGACACTAATGCACTGTTAGTGGAGTTGTGAAATGATCCAACCATTCTGGAGAACAATTTGGAACTACGCCCAAAGGGCTATAAAACTGTGCATAACCTTTGATTCAGCAATACCACTACTATGTCTATACTCCAAAAAGATCATAAAAATGGAAAAAGGACCTATATGTACAAAAATATGTATAACAGCTCTTTTTTGTGGTGGCAAAGAACTGGAAATTGAGGGAATGCCCACCGACTGGGGAATGGCTGAACAAGTTGTGGTATATGAATGCAATGGATTACTATTGTGCTATAAGAAATGATGAGCAGGCAGATTTCAGAAAAACCTGAAAAGATTTATATGAACTGATACTGAGTGAAATCAGCAAAACCAGGAGAACATTGTACACAGTAACAGCAACATTGTGTAGTGATCAACTATGACAGACTTAGAAGCAATACAACAATCCAAGACAATTCCAAAAGGCTCATAATGGAAAATGCTATCCACGTCCACATAAACAACTGATGAAGTCTGAATGCAGATTGAAGTATTCTATTTTCACTTCATTTTTTTTCCTATGGTTTTTCCCTTTTGTTTCTTCTTTCCTAACATGACTAATGTGGAAGTATATTTAACATGATCGTACATGTATAGCCTATATTGGATTGTCTGTCATCTTGGGAAGGGAGGAAGGAAAATTTGGAACTCAAAAATCTTATTAAAAAATGAATTTGAAAATTGTCCTTATATGTAATTGGAAAAAATGAAATACTATTTACATTTTTGAAAATGCTATACATTAAATCTCTGCCTACATAATTCACACTATGTGTTGCATAGAATTCTAACATTTGTTTGCAATGTTTGTCACTTTAAATTGAAATTATTTTGCTTTAGAAAACTGGGAAAGGATTTTTACAACCAGTGTTTCTAATAAGGACCTCATTTCTAAAATATATAGAAAACTAAGTCAAATTTGTAAGAATACAAGTCATTCCCCAATTGATAAATGGTCAAAGGATATGAACAGGCAGTTTTCAGATGAAGAAATTAAAGCCATCTATAGTCATATGAAAAAATGCTCTAAATCACTATTCTTTTTTTTGCTTTTTTTGGTGAGGCAATCGGGGTTAAGTGACTTGCCCAGGGTCACACAGCTAATAAGTGTTAAGTATCTGAGGCTGCATTTGAACTCAGGTCCTCCTGACTCCAAGACCAGAGCTCTATTCACTGCGCCACCTAGCTGCCCCACTAAATCACTATTGATTAGAGAAATGCAAATCAAAATGACTCTGAGGTACCACATCACACCTACCAGATTGGCCAACATGACAAAACAGGAAAATGACAAATGTTGGAGAAGATGAGGGAAAATTGGAACAGAACACTAATGCACTGCCAGTGGAGTTGTGAACTGATCCAACAATTCTGGAGAGCAATTTGGCATTAATGTGTATACCCTTTGACCCAGCAATAGCACTTCCAGGGCTGTATCCCAAAGAGATCATAAAAATGAGAAAAGGACCCATATGTACAAAAGTATTTATAGCAGCTCTTTCTGTGATGGCAAAGAATTGGAAAGTGAGGGGATGCCCATCAAGGGGGGTATGGCTGAACAAGTTGTGGTATATAAATGTGATGGAATACTATTGCGCTATAAGAAATGATGAGTAGGCAGAATTCAGAAAAACTGGAAAGACTGGTATGGACTAATACTGAGTGAATAGAGCAGAACCAGGAGAATGTTGTTAAGTGATGATTAATTGTGATAGACTTAGCTCTTCTCAGCAATACAAGGATCTCCAAAAGTTTCATGACAGAAAATGCTATCCACATCAAAAGAAAGAACTATAGTGTTTGAATGCAGATTGAAGCATACAATTTGCTCTTTATTTTAAATTCTGTTCTGTTCTGTTTCCTTTTTCTTGTGGTTCCTCCTATTGGTTCTAATTCTTCCTTACAAGATGACTAATGTGAAAATATGTTTAATAGGAATGCATATGTAGAGCCTATATCAGATTGCGCTGTCTTGGGGAGGGAGGGGGTGAAAAATTTAAAACTCAAAAGCATATGGAAGTGATTGGTGAAAACTAAAAATAAATTAATAAAAATTAAAAAAAAGAATTATTTTGCTTTGATTTTTTTTGGCACTACATTCAATTTATCTGATGGAAAATTTTACTTACCCTGACATCAGTGGCATCTCCATGCCTGATAATACTAGCCCATGTGGTTGGCTCACTACTATTTTCAAAATAATGAAAGACTTTTAATACTCGCTCCATTGCCCCAGGAGAACGCTCCATCCCAGTACTGAGGTGTGTCTTTGTACTTGAACTTGGGGCGTGATTCAAGTTTGGGTCAAGGTAAGCAGCTGCCATGGTTTTGCTAGATGCTAGGTATCTGTCATATTCTGCAGAAAGGGGAAATAAGAGAATACATAAATTCTAGGGCATGATGATTAAAATTCAATCATTTAACTGAAATGCATATGCAAGTACATATATAAAATCTGTTTTAATGACTTCATTTTCTACTTTTTTAATACAACAAAAAAGTAAGAAGTTGTCAATAGTACAGGGGGAGGGTAATAGAAATTAACATTAACTTCCAAAGGAAACTGCTATAAGCAAAATCTTTTATCTAATTGATCCATGATCTTTTTAAAGGATATAGAATTCTGGATAAGAGCTTAAAACAAAGGAATGACCAGCTCTTGGCCATGGGTGTCATGTCCTAATATGGGTACCAACACTAATTTACCTAATATCATACATATTCAATCAAAAAGCCTTTAGATTCAAAGTGATACGGGAGGGGTAAAAGAAAACCTTCTATATTAACTCGAAGTTTAGATACCTTAAAGAGCACTCATGTTTCTGGAAGAAGACTGGCAATAATAAGTTTACCCAGAAAATGCAAGAAAGGAGTCAGAAACTAAAATCCATGGCAACAAATGTGTATGCACAATGAAACAAAGTATAGGCAAAAACAAGGTAAAGTGAAGATCCTCATGCAAAGAGGAGAAAAAATGGACTTCACAAGCATCACTGAGAATCAGTGGGATGGAACCCATGACTAAAATATGGCTCTGGATATAACTTATTCAAAATGAACAGGAGACCTAAAAATAAAAGTAAGACAGGTGAGAGCTGAAAACAGAACAGTATTAGTTCAGATCCCTTTAAGATCTTGATTTGGTCTACCTTTCAGGCTAGTGGGAATATTATTCTTCTTTATGTACCAAACTTGCCTATTTGCTGTTCATCTCCCACATGCATGTCTTTGACGAGGTCCAATCACAACCTTGCCCAAAGTCAAAGTGGAATTACTCCCATCTGTCTCCTTTGCTCCTATTTGGTGCTATGATTGGGTCCACTAAAAGTTAATGTTATATCATCTCAAATGGGCCCTACTTCAGCAAGGTAAAACGGTTTTGACTCCCTAATAAGTTATCTGCTATCCCATGCTCCATAACAGCTATCATAAACCTTTTCTTCTTTCCTCATGCTTCCCAGAGAAGCAGATTCTCTTGCACTCTTTTAGCTGAAGCCTTCACTCTGAAACCTAATCCATTCTCCTCTTCTTTTCAACTCATATAAATCAGATGTTTTCCCCATACTATCCCTTCCTTCATCACAGTCTCACATGAAGAAGTGGGTCCTTTCTCCTTACAAAAGCAGACTCCTCTACATGCACCCAGCAGATTTTCCACATTATCATTTCCATAGTCTCTCCTCCATCTTTCCCATCTACTGGCTCCTTCCCAGATAAACATACCAATGTCTCTCCCAACCTTAAAAAGGATTTTTTTGATATGATCATCCTCAATAGCTATGTTCCCTTATCATTCTTTCCCTTCATAGATAAACTTCTTGAGAAAGAAATTTAGACACTCTAAGTGCCTCCACTTCCTCCACTCATTCTCATCTAAACCTCTGCACTCTGGCTTCCAACCTTTTCAACTGAAACCGATCTTTCCAAAGATGTATGAATGATATCATAATTGCCAATTCTAAAGGCCTTTTCTCAATCCTCATCATCCCTGTAGCATTTGAAGCTTTTGATCACTTTCTCCTCCTGGATATTCCTTCCTTTCTTCCTGTTTTTTAGTGCTCTGCTCTCCCCCTTAGTATTCCTACTATCTGTTCAGCAGCTTCTTATCAGTCTCTTTGCTGATCCTTCATCCATGTCATGCCCATGAACTGTGGAGATCCCCTTAAAGTTCTTTCCTTAGCATATTATATTCTACAATAGCATTAGCCTGATAATCTCATTAACCCCCTTGGGATCAGTTATCTTCTCTAAGCAGATGATTATCAATTTTTATAAATCCATTCCTTGTCTCGCTCTGAGCTATGGTCACACATCACCAGAAGCCTTTAGGATACCTGGAAACGGATAACAACAAAGAGGACTTACCATCTGCCAAAGGGTAACATCCCTCTTAGTCAAGAAAAAAACTAAGGCTCAGAAAAGTTGAATAAATTAATGCATATTCTCTATTTCCCACTCTAGTATATCCTCCACTCAAACTGCTGAACTGATCTTTTTTAAGCACAGGTCTGAGCACATTACTCATCCCCCCCAATCAACAGACTTGAGTTGTTCCCTATCACCTCCAAGATCAAATTTAAAATCCTCTGTTTGGTTCTTAAAGCCCTTTATAACCCAGCTCCTTTCTACCTTTCCAGTCTTCTTACACCTTATACCCACCCCCCACCTGTTGATGTTCATCCTTCGTTTTTGAAGGGGACCAGATCACAGGGTGATGTCTTTGCTTGTGAATTGGATTTAAGTGAGGCAGAGTTGCACAAATTTGTCAGCCTCACTCTCTCTTCCAGGGTCACTGAAGTCCAGTGACAAGACAAAAGTCAAGATGACTGGCGATGGCTCACAATGCAGTGGATGATATCACTGTTTGACCAAGCTCTAAGCATTTCACAGTGCCTGCTTCAGCCCCTTCATGGCTGTTGGAACAGATTGTTCTCATCCACCCATTCCATAGAAAGAAGTCTTCACATACTTGGAGTGGACATCGCCCTAACTCACCAAGAGGTTTGACACCTATCAGTTATCCTCAACCTGGTTTTAGCCTGTCTGCAGAGGTGGTTTTACTAGGGGTGGCTGATGCACATTCTACAGCTTCTTGGAGCCATAGGTGAGAGCTGGGTGAGTGAGGTGGACACCAAATGTAGATAAGCAGCCCTGAAAAGTGTTTCGCAAACCCTGACACCATGCTAGTCCTCCCCTAACATCCCGTACACATCTCCACTCCTTTACCTCCCCTCAGCCCTCCCTCTCCCCCATCCCTGACCATTCTCTATCTACTCTGAAATCCAGTGACACTGGCTTACTTACTTGTTCCCTGCACAAAATACTCCATATCTCCTCACTCTATGCATTTTCATGGATGTCCCCAATGTCTAGAATTCTATCCTCAATATCAAATCCTGACTTCCTTCAAGTCCCAATGAAAAATCTATCTTTCCTGATCCCCCTTAATGATCCTGCCAACCCTCTGTTGATTATCTCCAATTTATCATATAGATATATACAATACATATATATACATACATACACACACATCTTGTTTGTACATAGTTGTACCATATTATTACCACCATTAGACTGTGAGCCTTGAGAGCAGAAACTAATTTTTTGCCTTTCTTTCATAACAGGCTCTTAATAAATGCTTATTTATTTTCAAAAGGGTTCAAAATTTTCATTAGACAAGAAAGTATACTTCTGCCCTTTATAAGTATTAAGTTAGCTACTATATATGACTGTGTAATATCATACTATTCAAATCTTCCAGGACTAGACTAAAAAAACTATTGAAAAGATAAGTCATCTATGAAAATTCTTAGTGGTTTGACTCAGGGTGAAAAACATAATCTAATAAACTAACCTAGATGGTTTATTATTAAAAGAAAAAGAAGCAAAAACCATCCATGAGAAAGGTTTGATTACAATAATAATGATAATGATGATTACTACTGCTACTATTTCTAAAGTATTACTTTAAGGTTTGTCAGGTAATTAAGGTTAAGTTAATTAAGGTTTTATAGCATTATTTTAAGGTTTGCCAAATTCATTAAAGGCATTATGTCACTTGACATAATGCCCATAATAAAACATATGGTGTGCTATTGTTATTATCCATATAAATGTACATGAAAAAAGAACAGAAGTTGAGAGAGGGTAAGTGACTTTCTCAGGGCCAATAAGAAAAATGCTGGGGGATGGATTTAAACACAAATATTACTGACTCGATGTGTAGAACTTCATCCGTTATATCACACTGCCTCAACTAGAAAAAGGAGTCATAATCACAACTGTACACAAAGAGACAATATATTTCATAAAGAACAGGTCATGTCCAACTCCAAAGGACCAATGATGAAAAACACTATCCACCTCCAGAGAGAGATCAGATGAACTCTACTTGTAAATTGAAGGATACTTTTTTTACTTTACTCTCTTTTTTTTTTTTTTTACAGATGTGTATGTTTTCTTTTGCAACATGGCTAACATGGAAATATGTTTTATAAGACTTCACATGTACAATCGATACCATATTGCTTGCCTTCTCAAAGGCATGGAGGGGAAGAAAAGGGAATTTGGAACTCAAAAATTTTAAAAATGAGTTTTAAAAAGTTTTTACATGCAATTGCAAAATAAAAAATAACAAGTCATGCTATAGTCTATTTCTTTTTGAATAGGGTCACTGTACTGGTATGTTAGGGAAATTCTACAGTTATAGTTTTCTTAGGTAAACTATAAAGAACATTTAACTAAGCCTCTCATGTCAGTCTTGGAGAAAATATGGAATGATGTGGAATAGACAATGGAACTGTTGAATGACCATACTCAAAGAGCAGTCATAAAAGGTTCAATGTCAACCTGGAAAAGCTCCAAAACATAGTGCCCTAGGGATACGGCCACATTCTGTTCAATGTTTTATCAATGATTTATTTAAAAAATATAGCATATTTATAAAATCCACAGGTAGTAACATAATGGTGAGAGACAGAGCCAAAAGAGGCTTTCAGAGACTGGAGCCAAAAAGATCTTGACTAGACAGAAATAAAAATGGCATTTACAAAGACAAATATAAAGTCTTATACTTCAGTTTAAAATATCAACTTCACAAAAACAAGATAGAGAAGTTAAGGATAGACAGAAGTCTATATAAAAATTATCTGGGCATTTAAATGAACCTAAAATCCACTGTGATAGGGATGGGGCTACAGACTGGACCAGTGATTTCACTGATATGGGGTACTCCTAGATATAGAGTATTTTGTCTGCAACTCATTGTCTTACAGAGTTATTTAAGGCAGCAACAAGTTTAATGAACTGCTCAGAGTTTACAAAACCACTGTGTTAAAGATAGAATTTGAACCCAAG